CTTCCTTCCTCCTTCTTCCTCCTCCTCCTTCCCAATGTTCCATTAGTTTCTGGTGTTCAGCGTTCAGTCACACACATATATATTCTTTGTCATTATAGGTTATTACAAGGTATTGAATATAGTTTCCTGTGCTTTAGAGAAGGACCTTGTTGTTTATCTTTTATACACAGTAATGTGTACCTGCTGATCCCAAACTCCTAATTTAGCCCTTCCCTCCCTTGCCCACCCTGGAAACCATAGTTTGTTTTCTGCGTCTGTGAATCTATTTCTGTTTTGTAAATAAGTTCATTTGTGCCATTTTGGATACCCTCCGGTTCGCAGCTGCGCAGTCAGAGCCTGGAGATGGGGAGAGGCTAATTCAGGCACGTTGAGGATAAGAGTTTGCGTGAGGACCCGGGTTATGGAAGCTGCTGCTTCCAGCTCCCTCCCCCAGACTTGAGGACTAATGATCAAGCCAGTCTCTAAACTAACCCATACCTCACGTTTAACGACACAAAGCACATCAGTGGTTGCCTGGGGGCCGGGGGCAGAGGGAGCAATGGACCAGAAAGGTACACAAGGATCTTCAGGGACGATGGGTGTGTCCTGTGTCTGAGTGTGGTCGTGGCTTCACGGTGTACAAACGCACCATCCAGCATCCAGCTGTGCCCTTCAAGTGGGTACGGTGCATTGGACATAAATGACACCTCTGTGGGGTTCACAGAAAATCCCAGTGTGTGTATGTAGGTCCTGCCTTTCCCAGTCAGGCCCTCCTCTGTGGGCTGCATTGAAGGTGAACCACCCGGTGCGGCAGAGCCCCCCGATTCAGAGGGCCTGAGTGCGAATCCCTGCTCCGCCCTCACCAGCTGTGACCCCTGGATGAGCTGCCTCTCCGGGGCCTCAGTTTCCCTGTCTACAGTCTAGGGACAAAACTCTTGGCAAGCAGAGTATTTGGAGGACTTAATGGCTATTGTTCTATGTAAAGTTTTATAAACGATGCATTCAACACATGATCATTATTATTCCTTTTTGTATTTCTTGGAGATGTAAAAACTCAAGGTAAAATAAATATTTTTGTGTATCTACTGCTCCTCGGACACAACGCACTTGCTAAATTCGGTGATAATTACAAAATGTTTGATTTGATGACAGTTGAATATGCAAAGTTTTTTCCTTTGCAGAGCTGCCTTTTGCCTGTCTCGATATAGAATTCAGCATCTATTACGAATTCGTGAGGAACACGCTTTGATTGTGTAGCTTTTTCCCCGTTACACAAATCTCTTCAGTCTTCGGAGACACACAGACACACGCGACGTATGGTTATAAAATTAGAATTAGTGTGTCCTTATAACGTTAACGCCGTCACTTTCCACTAAATATTGTATCATGATTATTTTTCCCTTTTCTTAAATTTTATCTACATGTGTTCTGTGATTGATAGCGTTTCATCTGTCTGCACTGTTGTTATTGAGCTGGGCGTTCAGTACAGAAAATGTTTTCATTATAAACGACACTGCAGAAGCCGCCTTTCATTTTTATTCACCTTAATAAACACCATTTACACTTAAACTGCTCTTACCAAGTTGTCAGAGAGCAGCTAGGCTGCCGGCCATGGTCATTTTGATGTAGCTTTTTTTTTCTTTCTAATGCATTTCTCAAGGTGGGGGGGGGAGGGTCAGGAGGGAAGCCTTACGAAGCACGAAGCGTGGGAGCTTCCTATCAGTGCAGACAGATCCATCAGAAGTGTGGCAGACTCGGGGGTCTGGCAGCAGTGGTACCCAGACTCAATTCTTGCTTCTTTCCTCCAGAGAAAATGAAGCAAATGATGAATCTTACAAGATCCCCAAAGGAAACATGTTTCCATGGGGAGCCCCCTGTCTGCCTCTAATGCTCTCAAGTCATGTGGCTGCAAAAGTGTGATTTGACAGTAAAACCATTAACCTCTACAGGCAGCCTCCTGCAGGTGCTCACAGATGAACGTGGCGTCTCCCATCTCCATGGTCCTGTCCTCAGCTCTTCTTATCTTAGGATTCACAGCAGTTGTTGTTCCATGTTCCTTTGGGGGCTCAGAGAGCCCTGAAGGTAACTTTTTTATTTTTAATGGAGATCCTGGGGGCTGAACCCAGGACCTCGTGCACGTTATGCATGCACTGAAGGTATCTTTTGGACGAGTGGTGGGAACCTGCCTCTGATCCTTACCTTGCAGTGCCCACCTGTCCCCGCCCCCAACACACATGCCCTCACCGTGTGACATGACTCAGAGATCTCAGTTCCTAGCCAAAAGGCCAGATTTGCCACTGGGACTCCAGATCGATGAGTCCTTTGACCTCAAACTTCCTTAGCATTTGGACTATGTTTCTTCCAGTGTCTCCTCTCTTGATATCCTTAACATGGTAACCTTGTCTCAGCTGCCTCCTCCCCCTTCTCGCCCAGGCACAGTCTAACTGATGCAGTGTAAGCCCTGCGATGTGAGCAATGTAACAGTGTAAGTCACATCCTGTCAATAACAAATGCTGTAAATACAGTGCACCTTGTCGCGCACACGGTGTATCGGGAAGAGAACAGTGCGATATAGATGGAGAGCGACCAGGAGAGGGAGCGGCTTCCAGGTTTAAATTAGAAAGGACTCACGCAGTCCCTTGAGGAGTGGCATTTGAGCCGAGTTCCTATATAAGTTATGCCACTTTTGGTGGCAAGTAACAAAACACTGTGGACCAGATTGGCTTTGACAACACAGAGAGGAAAACACCTGGTGAGAAGCTGGAAAGTCAGGTGGTCCCGGGTGGGCTGGTCACTGAGGATGTGGTTCCTTCCGTCTCCCTGTTCCTCCCTGCTCGCGGTGTCAGTCGGGTCGTTGGCCAGCCCCCTAGGGCTCCAAGATCGCTGCTCTAGCCCCTTCTGTCACCCCCAGAGTGACAGCACCCAGCAGGAGGGGGAGGCACACTCCTTGTGCAGCTCAGAGCGGGAGACCCTTTCTGGAATCCCCAGGGGATGCCTCACACCTGATTGGCCACAGAATTGTGTCACGTGTCCGTCCCTAAGCCAGTCCCTGGCAAGGAGAAGGGGGTTCTAATGACTGGCTGGACAGGAACGAGGAAGATGTGCAGGTGGGTGTGTGGGGCAGAGGGGCTGGTGTGTGGCTGGGTGGCCAGCAGACGGCGGTACCTGCCTTGGACCTGGCCGACAAGCAGATGTCAGTCACGGGAAGATCACGGTGAGGTCTCTGGATGGGGATAAGCTTAGGAGAGCTCAAGGGAGAGCAACCCGGGAGGAGGGAGCCTGTGCGGGGGGCAGGGCGGTGGTGCAAAAAAATGATCCTGGAGGAGGAGCCCGTCCAGGTCCTGGGGCCTCGCGAGCTGTGGCCGGGAGTTTGGACTTTGTCCCGTGTGCCGCGGGCAATCCCTGGAGGGCGCTGGCATGAGCAGGCAGCGGGGAGAGCCCTGGGCGCGGCATCAGCGGTCCTGGGGGCTGACCGGCGTTGTCACACACACCGGTAAAGCCCCGGGCAAGTGGCACTCCCTTCCTTTGCACGGATTCAGGCCAGAGAAAATGAGGATCGTGACGCCTGCCCCACAGTTATTGTGGGAGCCACACATCAAGGCGGGGGAGGGCATTGCAGGCGGCGAGCTCCTGTACGAATTAGAGGTGCTTACTGCAGTCGGTTCTCATTATTTACAGCCGTTCCGTTACATAAAGTCACTGCAGACACTGAACAGGCAAACACTGAGCCATTCCTTCTAGAGGAGATAAACACACACACACGCACACGTGCACACGTCTCATATAGATGATAATAACCCTGCAGGCTCAGGACAGCTGTGGTCTACACTGTAGGAGGTGGGATGGGGAAAGTTCTAGCAGCGGGTGGTGCCCACCCGAGCCGGGAGACGGTGAGGGCAGAACGGCCCACTGCACCCATCGCAGCGTTCTTGGCGGTAAGCAGCCGGGTTCTCTTGACAAAGGTCTGCATGTGGCCACAGAGACCAGGAGTGTTCAGGGGTCTTACCGGATGTCTCCCAGGGCAGTGCTCTGGAAGGAAGGCAGGGTTTCTCTAGAACGGGTCTCCCACCCCCTTCCACGTACCTAAGGGAGGGCGGCTGGGTTCGGCATTGCCTCAGCATCCCAGGGTTTTAAAAGAAGGACACAGTCCCCCATTCCGTTTCCTGCCGTAGTTGAGAATCTCATTCCAATTGCCCTCTTTGTGATCCTGGGCACAATAATGCAGGTTTACGTCCCTCAGACATGCCCTGAAAGACACGCTGACTTGCCTGGTTCATTGATTTTTCCTCCCTTCATGAAGTGAAGCAGACGAAGAGAGGGATGGGTGAAGCCGATCCTTTCAGGCTTTGAAAAGTTACTGACGTGCCCGGTTTCAGCTCCCGCGGAGGTTTCGGTGGGGGAGACACATGAGCTGCCGCTTTACACACACCTGCGGGCACACTTGCTGCTCAGAGCAGGAGAGCCTGGAAGGCGGGGGCCCTTGGACAGGGTGGGCAAGCGGGGCCCCAGATGGACTCAGCCTGGTGCACAGTGACCTTCCAGCACCCCCGTCGTTGCTCTGTGGCCCAGGCTTGTCGAGTGTGTCCCTGGGGCTTCAGCCCATCTTCCCGTAAGCGGCCTTGGTTAATTATGCTGAAAGGTTCCCGAAGATGGCGGTGACACTGTGAGGTGGAAGTGACAAGGACCTGTGTCCGCGATGCCGGTGCAGGGGGACGTTCAAGCATCACGTTAGTGACTCTCTCCCCGGTCCTTGATTTCACTCTGCAGTGAACCGGGTTCATCTTTTCCTTCTCACGGGAGCAAGTTCATCTTCGTGCCCTTCTGGGGTGGGGAGGGGACGTGGTGATAATTTGTCGCAAGCCACACGGAGGTTTGGCCTTTGAGTTTGGGTGCTGGCACTGCTGGCAGCGCTCTGAGCCGTCCGTTGGCCCGGCCACGTCGAGAGGGCGCTCGGACACGTGCGTCCGGGGCTTGGAGGGGAGGTCTGGGCTGCAGGTGAGGAAGAGAAGGTCACGAGCGAGCCCTCATTTGTGGCTTGGAGAACGGGCTGCCTGGTGGCACTCTGGGCGAGTTGGGGGATCCTGTATCCCCACGTGGCACCCCTAAAAGCAGCTGAGCCAGTTGCATCAAATTGCTCGCCTCAGATTCATCTGTAAAATGCGAAGTGTGGGGCCCTGGCAGTTTTGTGACTCTCTGCTGAATTGAGTGTTGGTTTTGTGTCTTCTGCACCGAAAGCGACCTTTGCTGCCTCCACCCCCTCCCCACCCAGACACGTAAATGATGTTCCCCTGAGGGCCTGGGAGAGAAAGTCATCAATTTTCTTTGCTTTTTCGGAAGATGTGAGATGAAATGGGGGCTTCGTGATCTAATACCTAACCTGCTGGTGCACGCACATTCAAAGGGTGCCCCCACGTGCTGGGTCAAAAGTCCATAACAAAATGCCACATCCTCACCTCCGTTCTGCAAAATTATAGAGTCACGGGGCAAAAAGAATTATATCCACGTTTCTAGTGCATTTCATGAGAATCTTCCTACAAGGATTTTAATCTAGTGCCAAGCTCTCTTAACATCTCAAATAAAGTGCTGTTTTAGTAACATATGGGTACCTTTTACGCATCTTCAAATGAGGTGCAAGAGTGAAATATGTTGCACCTGGGGTCTGATTAATGGTGGTTTGAGTACGTAAAGAAGGTGGAGGTAAAGGGGAAAAAAAGCACAGAAAAGACAGCAAAGGTTATGTAACTCCATTAAATTATGTTTATGGTTTCACTTGTCAGTCTTTCATAACACAAAGCGGTTTTCCCGAAGTCTGTTTATCAGTATTTGTCACTGATCAGTGCCTACAAATTGCCTTCTGTTCAAGTCACGTTCTCCTGGCTGTCCTGGGGGCTCATCACTCAGGGCTGCCGTCGCACATGAGCTTGCGCCGTCGGGGTTTGCCCGTGTTTTCCTGCTGATGCATCTGGAGGTTCTAACCCCTCCCCCGAAGGTCTCCGACGACTGCGCTTCCATCTTCGTGAACGGGAAGGAGATGAAGGGCAGGGTGGACACGATCGTGAACTTCACCCACCAGCACTTCACCTCCCAGCTGGAGGTCACCGTCTGGGCGCCCAGACTGCCCCTGCAGGTGGAGATCTCAGACACGGAGCTGAGCCAGGTCAAAGGATGGAGGGTCCCGGTGGCCGCCAGCAAAAGGTGAGGAACCGAGGCGGGGGGCGACTGCCCCAGGGAAGCTGCGTCCACCGGGGGGCAGTGAGGGACTGGGTTCAGGTGGCTCTGACTCGGGCACTTACTTTGACATGCAGAAATTACAAGTGGGCTAAGAGTCTACCGCTGAGAATAGCCACTAGCCTCAATAAAATGATGCAGCGTCCAGGAAGCACCTGGCTCGAGGCTTGGCATGTAAGGAATAGCTTTTTTTTTTTTAAACTACTTCCTTATTATCCTTGTCCATTCCCAATTTCCTACTTTGTAGATGTCAGCCACCATCTATGGGGGTCAGGGCAATGGCTAAGCTGCGGGCTATGGAATAAGGCCACTGAGTTTTCACCCTGGCTTTCCCACATGTAGCTGTGTGACCTTGGACAAGTTACTTAGCCTCTCTGTTCCTGTTTCTCCATCTGTCAGTCGGCCGTGACGATGTTACTGAGTAGCGTTGTCCTAAGAATTCAGTGAAAGGATACAGAACTCTAAAGATGTTACCCCTTCAAAGAGTCCCATCTCCTGGTGGGTCAGTCAAACGCTAATCGGATGCTGCTGTGACAGGATTTTCCGGGGACCATTAAAATTCTAAATTCGTCCACCTTAAAATAAGGAGATTATTTAGGTGGGCCTGACGCATCACTGGAGTCCTTTGAAAGCAGAAAGTTTTGTCTAACTGGTGAATGGCATCCCCCAGTATGACACTTTTAAAAATGGACGTGTTTTTTATTCAGCGTAATTCCTTTGCGATCCAGCTGAGATGTTGCCTGTTTCTACTGTCCGTTTATTTATTTCGCTGAGTGTGTCCCATGGTGGGTTTATCAGTTTGCTTAATCATTCATCCACCGAAGGACGCTCGTGTTGTGTCCAGTGTGGGGCTGTTTCGGAGAGAGCTGCCCTGACGCTTGTGTATGAGTTTCCTCATGAACGTACAGTTTTCATTTTTCTGAGGAAGCTGTCCAAGAGGGCAGTGGTTGGGTCACGTGGGAAGGGCATCTTTAGCTTTAGAAGAAACTGCCAAACTGGTTTCCAGGGAGGCTGTTCCATTTTTACATCCCCACCAGCGATGGGGCGGGCATCCAGTTACTCCACATCCTTACCAGCACCTTAAAAGGTTACAGAGAGCGGGGCACCATTTATGACAGGATATAAAACGGAGAGCAGGTCAGTGGTTGCCATGAGTTACGGATGGTGTACAGGTGGGAAGTGCCCAGGACGCCCCCGTGGAGATGGACTAGTTCTTTATCTGAGTTACAGGTTTGGCTACGTGAAATGTGATAAAATTGCATAGAACTACACACACACACACGCAAATGAATATTCATTAAATTGTTGACATCTGAACAAGCTCTGCCTTGTACCGATGTCAGTTTCCTGTCGGTATTGTACTATGGGTATGTCAGAATGTTACCTGGGGGGTGCTGGGTAAAGAATATACAGGACCTTCTTATCCAATTTTATAAACTTTCAGTGAATTTATTATGCTTTCAAAATTTAAAGTTTTTTTTAAAAACACAATGGTTTATTAATATGGTATTTCTAAAACTTTATTCACTCACCACTTTTATCATACTATGGCTGAGTACCACCTCTCACGTACTTAATTTGGTTCTTTTTTCAGTTTTATTCATTTATTTAAGGGGAACTTCACATCACCATCAAAAATAGCCAACTAGTAAACGTTTATGCAAAGAAAACAAAATATTGTTACTAAATTCCGAGTAGGTACAGTCGTTTGTCTGAATTCGGCTTTATTAACTGGTAGGGACTAGCAGGTGTCGGAGAGCCAGTGAAGACGGCCTGGCACCGAACAGAGACGTTCTCTGTGATATAATGGAGGACTGGAAAATGAAATGGGACTCACATTTCAGCATGCCAGTCAGTGCTTTTAGTGCGTGTCTCCTTGCCACCTAAAATCAACTCACTCACCAGCAAGGATATTTACCCCTCACTTTGGGAAACCCGTATTGCTAGGTGCTGGTGAAATCTTTTCCTATCACTAATAATCGAAACTCATTGAATTTTTTGCATTTTAGTGAGTGTTGAGGGAGAGAAAGTCTCATTTCTTTGACCAGTCAAGGCTGAGTTAAACTCAGACTCTAAGCAGGCTTCCCCCCACGTGGTGACTTACTTTTCCTGTGTCGCTAACAGAAGACGGTAGAAACGGTGAGAGCTGGTTTTAGTCTCCTAGCCTGGAGGGTTAGCCTTTCAGGGAGCAGGAATAACGTATTTTTAAGAAAGTAGGTTTCAGAAGTGACGTGGCGCTCAGTCCGCACGTGCTAACGACCAGCTGTCTGGGCCCCACACTAACCACTCTGAGCCTTGGTTTCCTCGTGTAAAGAAAGGAACGTGTCTCACAGACACTGTAAAGGGAAACGGAGTCAGATATAAAAAGGGAGAGGACGCCGACAGGCGGACAGCGGGCTGGCTGGGACTCCTCTGCCTCCAGGTGGCAGCTGCATGGCCGAGGTCCAGGTGCCTCTGTGCCTTGGTTTCCTCGCTGGTGAGACCAGGATAGTAAAACACTGCTCCCGCAGGGGGGTCTTTGGAGACTGCAGGGGTCAGCTGTGTGGCTGGCGTGTGGTCCTGGTCCATCTCAGCACTTCTTGTCCTTTACGTGAGTGCATCGGGCAGGACCAGGCACGTAGTAGGTCTAACTCGGCACACATGAGTCACTGCCCCTTTCTCCGCTGACACAAGTCCCGTCCACTGTCGGCCACCGACCAGTCAGCAGCCACCAAACCGGGCCCTCTCATGATGTAGGACAGGTTCATTTTGAGGGGAAGGTTCTGGAATAACAAGGCTAGGGTTTTTCAGGGCAGCCTGTGGGCGGGCGAGTGAGAGGAGAGGGCTTGCCAGGACTTGGGAGGGGCTGGGGCTCCGGGGGGAGCAGCGGGCACCCGGGGGCGCAGGTGCCAGGCGCGTTTCAGCGGTTTCCGTGGCCCCGCGGGGTGGCGGCCACTTAGATCAGGGCGCGTGGGCGGCAGGGGGCGCCCTCTGCTCGCGTTCGGGGCCCTGCGCTCAGAGGAAGCCGCTTCTCCAGAGGTGACAGGGCCTTCTCCAGGGAGGGGGCAGGATGTCGGCACGGTGCCCGGGGGATGGCTCAGGAGGGCGGGCCTCCCGCGCGCCGCGCAGTCACGTGGCACCTGGGACGGTGGTTCGCGCGGAACCTACCCGCCGTGACGCTCGCTCTGGGGGGGGTGTGTGCGTGTCTGTGTGCGTGTCTGTGTGTCTGTGTGTGCGCGCGCGCCCCAGGCCCACCCGGGACAGCGAGGACGAGGAGGACGAGGAGAGGAAGGGCAGAGGCTGCTCGCTGCAGTACCAGCACGCCGCCGTGCGCGTCCTCACCCAGTTCGTGGCCGAGTCGCCCGACTCGGGTCAGCTGAGCTACATGCTGGGCCCCGACTGGCAGTTTGACATCACCGACCTCGTGGTGGACTTCATGAAGGTGGAGGAGCCGAAGATTGCCCAGTTACAGGACGGCAGGACCCTGGCGGGCCGGGAGCCGGGCATCACCACCGTGCAGGTACGGGGACCCTCCCGACCCCAGCCTGCGCGATGCCGGGTGTGCGCGCATGCGCCAGAGCCGCGTGGGCTGTGCCGCAGTTCAACCATCCAAACTCAGGCTTTGCGCTTTAGAGTTGGAGAAACACAGATAATTTCTTTCACCAAAGCTGAATTTAACACACAGTGTAAGCCATCTTTCCCCTGCTCGGATCATTCACTTTTCATACCATCGCTAACAGGAGATGGTAGAAGCTGTGAGGCGAGTTTTCCTGTCCTAACCCTGAGGGTTAACCATTTAGGCGTGTTTCACCTTGAACAGCGGACAAGCACATTTTTAAAAACATGAACTGCACTAACAATAACTTCAGGAACGCCCTGCGTTTTGTTACAGTGAAGCTGTTTTCTAGCCGGCTTCGACAGGATGCCTACCTGGAAACAGTGCAGCGTAGTTCCCAGTAACAAATTAAAACCTTTCCACTCATAGTTAAGTCATAGTTTAGGTGCTGCCGAAGTGAATTTTTGATGCAGGTGGATTCAGCTTTATATTTTGGATGACTTTTCTATTGCTCTGTGAGAAATCACTGGAAATCTCCCGGCTTAAACCCCCACTCACTTATTGACCCCGAAGTCTGTGGGTTGGGCGTTCAGGTGAGCTTGGCTGTGCTCAGGGCACCACGAGGCTACAGTCAAGGTGGTGGCCAGGCTGGGAGTCTGCGGGGGCTTCCGAGAAGGATGTGCCCCCCAGCTCAGCTTGTCAGCAGAATGCACTTCCTCCCAGTGTGGGACCGAGGACTCTGCATCCCTGTGGGCTCTCCGCCAGGAGTCGCTCTCTGCTCCGAGGGGTCACCTGCGGTCCTTCTCCTCCGTCCCCGGGAGTGATGTGTCCGGGCCTCCTCACGCTTGGAATCTCCCTGGCTTCCCCTACTCCACCAGCCAGGAAAAAGCTCTTGTGATTCCGTCAGACCCACCTGGCTAATCCAGCGTAATCTCCCCCGCTTTAAGGCCAATTGTGCCGTTTACTACAACATAATCAGGAGAGTGATTTCTCATCACATCACAGGTTTGAGAGATTAGGCAGGACATTTTGGGGGTGGGGGTAGTTCTAGAAATTCTGCCCATTAGATATTCCTCTCCATTTGTTTGTCACCCCTGGTTGCAAGCTCGGTGGTAAAGGAGGAAGAATGGTTTCTTAACACAGTAAGATGCTCTTTTGCGCTTTTCTTAACTGGTTTATCCAGTGAGGGCATGGTAGCCCAGGGAACATCTAGCTGCCCACGGGAGGGAACAGGGGCAGGAGAGGATGCCTGAGCACCAGGCCTTCAACGAGCTTTGCCACAATTCTGCTGTTTTCACGCCTAAATATTAGTTGTTGGGAAAGTGTTACTCTTTGGTGCCTAGTACCAAGGTGGGCAATTTTTAGTGATTGCCTCTAAATTAAAGCAAGCTTTCCCTGGAAAGTACACTGTTGTGATCATGGTATGAATCACAGGAGAGAAAATGGACCAAGATGATGTTGGTAAAACTCCTTCACTTGGGGAGCGTAACTGGACAGGAGGCTCATGCACTCATTCTGCCCAAGTGCACTGACGTCCCGGGAAACTGGGAGGACGTGTTGGTGGAAATTAGGGAGTTTCGAACGGTGTGTGGAGCTGAGACATGAATTCCTCACTGACTCTGCAGGTCCTGTCGCCTCTCTCTGACTCCATCCTGGCTGAGAAGACGGTGATTGTCCTGGATGACCGCGTCACCATCGCGGACCTGGGCGTGCAGCTGGTGGCCGGCTTATCTCTCTCTCTGCAGCCTCACAGGGTGGACAAGAGAGCCCTCGTGTCTACAGCAGCTGCCCAGGACACCCTCCAAGCCCCGCAGCAGGTGAGACTGCAGGGTCCTCTTGTCCCTGGCCAACTGAGAGCCCTCTGTCTCTCTGTCACATCCTGCACGGGAGATCGGCAGAACACTCCCAGCTGGGACTGGTGATTCTTGAGGCTTCTTCCTGCCTCTTATCCAGTCTGTCTTGTCTGAGAAAAGTGCTCGGTGGCTTAAATACATTTTCCTCTTCTACCAATTTCTGCCCCATGTCACTTGCTTTACAGCAGCCTTATCGGTGTTACGAACCGTCCACTGCTAGACCGTGACCAAAGGACCACATGTTTTTACATTTGCCAAAGCAGGTGCCTTTTGATACTTGGAAATTCCACTTCAGCTACTTGAACAAGCATGGCTAAGAGTCACCCAACTGCTCCTGTTGACAACTATAGCCAACTCTAAAACTCCCCCCACTCCCCACCCTTAAACCTTGCTGTATCATTTATAAAGATCCCAGGGCTCAGTGCCTTTCAAGCAAGCTGGTCCCATGATGCATCCTTCCTTAAGTGCTCGCAGCTAGTGCGTGGTTTGCTGCATCAGCGCTGACTTCCTAATAAAGAATGTTCAAAGGGATATTATCTTGAGCGAGAGCCTGATTAGTTGCACCTGAATTTGATTCAGATAAATTGCCTGATCTTTCAAAATGTTTTTAGAAAGGTCAAAGTCAAATTCCCTTGTATGGCAGGCAATAAATTAATACACACTTGCATGCATTCATTAAAGTACATTGTTGGTTTCTCCCATCAGTGGGGCTGTAGCATATGACTGATCGCGGGTCCGAGGCTGCCGAGGGCTGGTGCAAATGATAAAACACCGACGTTTATTTTTCCCAGTTTGTATACTTCCATATTGTTAGATGGGAAATCATATTTACGCATTTGCACACTTGAAGGAACCTGACTGTAACATGATGCTTTGGTTTCATTTTTCTTAGGAGGCAATAGTCAGCTCTTGGATTTTGTTCAGTGATGGTTCGGTGACTCCCTTAGACATTTACGATCCCAAGGATTTTTCAGTCACTGTCTCGTCGCTGGATGAGATGGTGGTGTCCGTCCAGGCCAACCTTCAGTCCAAATGGCCGGTGGTGGTTGCGGAGGGTGAAGGGCAAGGGCCCTTGATTAAACTGGAAATGATGATCAGCGAGCCTTGTCAGAAGACCAAGAGGAAGAGCGTTCTGGCTGTGGGCAAAGGGAATGTCAAGGTCAGGTTTGAGCCGGGTATCGATGAGCACCAGGGAGGCACCAATGACATCGAGGGCATGAATCGGGAATATAAAGGCCACCTCAGCAACGCCATAGAGCGCGAGGGGAGCCAGGAGAGAGCGGTCCAGGAACGGTCCCAACATGGCGCCTCGGCTGGCCAAGAGGAAGGTACCAACAAAAGCACAACCGCACGATCCCCCATGGAAGGAAGGAGTAAGAAGTTACTCAAGAGCGGTGGTCCAGACACCTTCACAAGCTTCCCCACTCAAGGGAAGTTCCCGGAACCCCACAGTCCTGGTGACCTCACGGTGACCTCCAGGGGCTTAACCGACCTGGAGATTGGCATGTACGCCCTGCTCTGCGTCTTCTGCCTGGCCATCCTGGTCTTCTTAATCAACTGTGTGGCGTTCGCTTGGAAATACAGGCACAAAAGATTCGCTGTGAGCGAGCAAGGGAACGTCCCCCACTCCCATGACTGGGTCTGGCTCGGGAACGAGGTGGAACTCCTGGAGAACCCCGTGGACATGACGCTCCCGTCGGAGGAGTGCACGACCGTGGGAGACCGGGGTCTGCCCTTCGAGGAGAGGAACTTCCTCCTGAACGGCAGCTCCCAGAAGACGTTCCACAGTCAGCTGCTCAGGCCTGCTGACTACGTCTATGACAAAGACTTGAAAAACGAAGCCCTGAGTTCCTCGGGCCCAAAGAGGAAGAGAGTCAAGTTTACTTCCTACACCACCATCCTCCCCGAGGACGGCGGCCCGTACACCAACTCCATCCTGTTCGACAGCGATGACAGTATCAAGTGGGTGTGCCCAGATATGGGGCTGGGGGACCCCCAGGACTTCCAAGACTATATGGACCGACTGCAGGACCAGATGTAAACTCCTTTCTCATGTTTGTATTCACCTTTATGCCTTCTGTTTTTTGAATGGTGGAGCAGTGAGCTGGATCAGCAATAGGGGGTGACTTAACAGCGCTTCTCTGGTGGAGGTCTGGGGGGCGATCCTTGCCTCAGCAGGGATCAGAGACAGCCATGGCATCTGGGTTGTGAGCCGGGCAGTGTCTCCCAGCCGGCCACCTGTGGGTCCTGGAGGAATTCTAAGACAGAGGTTTTATCTGCTGCCTGGCACTAGCTCAGTTCAAACATCATAAGCCCGACCCCACAGACATTGTTAAGTCATCTCGGGACAAGACGGCCATGTGGAATGAGAAAAGACTTGGGTTTGATTTTTCTACTCCTAGACCTTTTAAAGCACAGTGGACATTTCTCGCCCCAGGCCTGAGATCGGGCATACGCGAAAGATGCTGAATGTAGCCGCCCATATTTGTTACGAGCACTGCTCATTATTTTTATATATATTTGCACCTGCACCTGGTTCTTCTGACCTCTGCAATTCTTTTCGAAACATGAAGATGAGAAATTTCCTTTTTTTCCCCCTTCTCTGAGATCTGTTTGATTTGCGTATGAGTTGTAATCACTGAGATTTGCCACGTCATGTTGTTTCCTGGGTGTCCGTGCAGAATTTCAGGTTCTTTCCAGTTTTCCGCGTTTGATCACGTGGGGGCAATATCTAAGAAGCTTATCCTCACGCCGTCTTTCCTTCTTTTTGTCGTTGAAATTTCTTACAGCAGACGGGGACGTGGGATTTTACTTAAAAGTATCAATATACTGTGAGGGAGGGCCATCTTCTTTACAATTTTCTACATGATGCTTTAAAACTTTGCAGAAAAGTTGGGAACCATGAACCTTTACTTTTATCTTCTGCTTGGGGAAGTCATGGGGAACTCCTTCCTGGAGTGCGTATCTTGAGGGCGAAGAAGGTCCTCAAAATAGTGTATTTATACTGATGCTTTGTGGTCAACACGATTTGTTATTGAAACTGGAATCGAGATCTAGGAATGATACATGCAAGACGGAAACTGCACAGGAAATACCATCAGATGAAACTTTCCTTATACCAGGACAAAACTGTTTAAAGCAGTAAGTGAAACGATGTTTCAGCTTAGCAATACGTAGTCGTCTATCCATACAGTGACTTCCCCCACCCCCAACCAAAATATACATATATATATATATATATATCTTCTCAGTCTTGACTCTGGCAGAGATAAAACCTATACAGGGTGTGCGTTGATGGAGAAAAGCAATGGGTTCCCCCCCAAAATTCATAAAACAAATGATCATTCCAGCAGCTTGCGAAGCAGTTGTGATTAAAAAAACAAAAAACAAAAAACAAAAAACACATAGCTACTGGGCAATCAAAATGGTGAGAAAGAGAAAAAAAAAGCATGATTCTGGCATAATTTTTAAATTAAAAAATGTCTCAAGCAAAGCAAGGATTTCAGGTTAGAAACTGATGACAACATGTTTCTCCGTTAAAATGAGATAGCCGGACAAACAGCCCCTGGACGAGTCTGCCTCATTTGGAGCATCCCTGAGCCACCTGCATCTCTGAGAAGCAGAGTTTCAAAGACCGGAAGCAGCAAGGGCCTGCAGGAGGTACTGAGGCAGCTCCTTGACTCCCGATGGCTGATGACGGGGCCGTTCAAAAGGGAGGCGGTCAGTGGTTCCCCACAGGGTTCTGTGGACAGGCCCGGGGCACCAGCCTCCTCCGGCCGTCACTCGGCAGCCGCGGGGTTCGCCCCGTGTCTCTTGTCCACAGGGCTGCGGCACGTTTGTAAACAGAGTGTAAGTCACCAGTGATGCACTGCCTGACCCCCAGAGGCTGGTGTTCAGTTGCTCTTGGGCTTAAAATGAGGCAGTGAGTTTCCCCAAATCTTCTAGTTTGGATGATGAAGCCAGGAGACCCAGGCGTCTGCTCCCAAAGGAGTTTTTGCAAAGAGATGACGGACATTCTCATAGGAAGAGCTCCCCTGTTATTCGAAGGAAGCTGCCTCTGCTCTCCAAGGGGCTTGGTGGGGAGGTAGCTGGAAACCACTGTGCGGGGCCGGAGAGCAGTTCCCGCGCTGATGGGGACATAGCTTGTCCATCTGAGCCCTGCGCCTTCTCTAAGGCACTTCCCATTCTCTCTCCCTTTGGATCCTCAACATCCCAGACACAGCTGGGATTTCGTTTCTGAAGCTGAGGAACCGAGGCTGACGTGGGGGTGTCTCACACACACAGCAGGCTGCCCCCCACTGGTAAAAATGAGGCTTTCAGTGGGTATAATTCGGCAGAGGATCAAAGGCAGTTACCATTGCCGCGGGGAGCCTGGTTAAGGAGCATATATATACATGGGAGCATTTCCGAAGGTCCCGGTGCTGGACGTGACGCAGGCATGAACTGAGGAGAATGGAACGTGCCCGCGGGCGTCTCAGCGAGCCGGGAGCTGGCCGCGGTGCTGAAGGGGCCGCCCGTGGCCAAGCCGGACTCACCCAGAGCGGGGCCGGCTGTGTGCAGTCACTGGGCTTATGTCTGCGACTTGGCCAGTTCAAAGTGAAAATCAGATGGAAAGTCACGGGGAAGGGACCCCTCTTACTAAACAACACACACTCACAAATACGCACACATACACACGGATACCCACGTGCGTGTGTCTGTGTTTCTAGGGCAGCGGCAGAGAAGCCCGTCTTTCAGAGGAATCAGCACTGCCCGTTGCTCTCAGACCTGGCGTAGGCACTGTTCAGCTTAGCAGAGCTTCCCTGAAGTTCTTTCTGCTCTAAATATTTCCTGCTGATAGAAACCATGGGTGGTATCTGCTTGTTTTCCAACTAGTCGATTTTAAACACATAGGAACTGTGCTCCCTTAAACATTTCGGCTAAAATGGGCAGAATGGCATAAATTAAGATTAGAAATACAGTTCCCTGAGGGCCATGCGTTTGCCTAGATTGTCCAGGGTTTTACTGCGGAGATATTCAAAGGGTCGGTGTCGATAACCCGAGAGAACGGTGTCGGTAGGGTCCCCTCCTCTCCCCAGAGAACGGGATGCTTGCACTGCAGCACCCCCGTCCCTGCCCTGAGGCAGACACAGCACCTCTTGAGGGGGCGCCAAGCTGCAAACTGATTTCAGAGTCATACAGAGGGCGGTTCAGATGCTCCGTGAAGACCCGGTGACCTAGATCCATGGGGGACACGAGACCCCCGTCTCCAGGGCCAGGTGTCTGCCTTCCAGGGCGGTGCACAGTGAACCAGGAGCCGCTGCCACAAGAAAGAGCTGGCGTGTGAACACACAGTGTGCTGCATTGGGGAGACAAGAAGAAGAAAAGACACGGGAAGTTTTCCCTGGAAACTTCCTCCAAAGAACTCACCAGCTAGCAGACCTCAGAATCCCCCACGTGAACCGGGAGAAGGAGTAACTGATGCGCTGCGCACCGGCCAGGCTGCGTTCCCAGACTACAGTAATCCTTAAACTGCAGGCAGAGAGTCTCTATCTATAAAAATCAACGCAGGGAAAAAAATGGATTAATTTTTGTGCCATCACCACATCTGTAGACGAAGTGTTTTGTGCCTAGCTAATGTTTTAAGTTTTAGGAAGTCTGCCTTTGTGTGTGTTGATCAGCATTCTCGTCTCATCCTTTGAGAAAGGTGTCTCCCCAAAGTCGGGACGTCGTGAAGTCTTTGTCAGAGAAGAAAATATAGTCCGACTCCATGGACCGGGGAGGGCGGCTTCTTCAGAATCTTACACTCCCCACTGGCAGGCACCCTTGTATTCTTACTCTAGTCAGCTCAAAAACGGCCTCAATTCTCCATTCTAGTCTCTGTAAGTGACATGATAGATGTTTCATAAACCCAGCAACCGTCTCCTCCCTCAAAATTATATTACGTGTCATGTACGATGTGTCACCTGTTATGTATAGGAACAGGGTGGGTGGTGGAAAAGTTATGCTCAAATACGGATAGCAGGTATTTTTGTATGTAAAATAGGCAACATACTTACTGAACCTCTGAAAGGTGTATTGAAATAAATACGTTTAAAAAATAAAAGCATGCAAAGCTGTAGCTTTTAAATGTACAGACATCCCACTCGGATATATCTAAACTGACGGTGGGAAAGCACTGGGACCTGACATCGTGACATGCGCTGTGTTAGCCGTGCGGCCTTTAGAGGGCGTGGCTCGCGCTGGGCTAGTTAATGGAACCTGCCAGATCATTTTAACCTGACTCTTCATTACTTTTGGAGTTTTTTTCCTTTTCCTTTTTTTTTTTTCTGGAAATATTTCAGAAATAAAGTGACTTCTTTTTCCAGCATAAAGGTATATTCTAACCACAGGGTAACTCATCATTTTTAACGTGAAAATAAACATTTAAACGTTCTCCAGTGGTTTCATTTTTTTTTTAAATCCACGAAGTCCCTTCTAATTGCAGCCTCTGTATGACTTGTCTATACTTACATATTTTTTCTTTTTAGCCAGAGATATTAATACCTTTGACACAGCAATAAATAGAAACTCAGAGAAAATGTTTCTTGAAAGTTGCAACCTTCTCGTGTGTTGTCCTAGCAGCTTGGGTGGGGATGCGGCCTCCCTGATGTCTCAGAAGGAGGGATCCTGTTTCTCAGGCCCCTGCCTGAGTCAGTCCTTGGACTCAGTGCTGACCCCTCCCCACTTCTCGCTTTCGGCCTTTCCCTGTCTGCGGCTCACTCGCGTGTCCGTATTTGGAGCAGGGGTGGAGTGGGGTCAGACCAGGCAGAGCTCTAGACCCGTAAGGAAAACACAAGACAGTCGGGATTCTGCCTGGAAGGCGATGACTTCTTAGCTGCGAGGTTGCCGGCTGCATCGCCGAGTCCCCGCGGCTCCCGCTGACATCTCTGCCCTTCCGACACCGCCCGCTTCATCTTTGGCTTTTTGGCAAATGTCACTCCTCCTCATCAGGAGGAAGGGGCATCTAAACTCCCCATCCCAAGCCTAGGATTTCCCTGGGCCCTACGGACATCACTTGAAGAAGTGAGCGCAAACCTAGGACTTGGCCTTGAGAAATCAGATCTGCAGAGTGTCAGGCTTCGCGTGAGCCCGAAAGCTCTCCCAGGTGCCCAGATCACCCCCGTCTGCAGGCTGTCTCCCACCGACAGCCCCCTGTCCCTCTTCTTCCTGGAATGGACGGGGATGGAGCCACAGACCCTAAGTCCTTCCCTGGTCTCAGTGCGCGTGCAGGCCGTTTAGTAAAGTCAGTTTCTGAAAGAACGAAATCAGAAAGTCTGAAAGGAGGCCTCAGCTCTCGCGTCCTAGGTGAGCCTCACACCTCACTGCGGGTTTAGGCACATGCCCCAACCAGGGGAGACAGGAGCTGAGCGTGGATGGAGCGTGAAACAGTAAGGAAGCGGTCAAAGCTAAGAAGCAAGAAATGGCTCTAAGACACCGTGGAGGATGCTCCCTGGCACGCACTGAGCGCACACAGCAGGAGGCCACATGTGTCTCTGGGGCAGAGCTTCTCCAGAGCCTGTGTCTGAAGACACATGCCGTTTTCTCACGGTGTCGCGGCACCCCAGCCGTCAGTCCCGGCCCCATGCTCTTCCTGGGTGGGCTCCATGGGCTACCGGACACAGCGAGGGGCCAAACCCGCATCGCCCAGCCGGTTCTGCACTTTGGGGGGCTGCTCTGAGACCACAAACATGGCGGAACAAACTCTGGCATTATTTAAAAAAAAAGCGTCACCCTCTACCCCCAGTTTTTCTCAGTTCCCGGGGTAGACACCAGCTCTTCTAAGGGAGCGTGCTGCTACATCACTGTGCTTGGATAGACCTTTTTGGTTGTGCAATGTAACTATCTCATGCTCCCCTGGCTCTCAGTACGATCTGTGGTATCTGTTCCACAGTCCCCTTCACATCTCTGTAAAGGCACTTCCAAACACTTTGAAAGTGAGGAAATAAAACGTGTTGGATGATTCCTTGTCACAGTAAAACAGTCCACTGGAAGCTCCAGGAATTAACCTCACCCTCATACAGTTGTTCACAGGAAGGTATTAACTAGCCCTTAGGTCCAGTGTAGACGCATCTGTGTTTCCAGGATTTTGAGGACAAGTCATTGGCCGAGACCTTGAGAAACTGAGAAAAGAATGGCTTATTTAAATGTGAGAGCAAGGTTCCCAAGGAGAGAGACTTGCTCCTGTGCCCTGGGGCAAAATACTCTGGCTCAAGAGCCTGTGAACGTGCCCTCCAGAAAGGGGGCCGTGGCAGCCTGTGACTTTCTGTGCTTAAGATGCGCAAACTCGGTTCTTGGAGGAAGCCAAGAAAAGTCCGTTTTTCCTTAAGGCTTACATAGTTTGCGTTTTCATGAGAGAAAAAAGCTTTATTCAGATTCATCCCTGCCAGTCGGGAAGAAGTCATTTCTAGTCTATAAAATTTAAGTTC